GCGACAGAAGGATTGAAGAGAAACTACGGAAAAAGCTGACACGATATGAGGATTTAAAGATCAAACCGCAAAGACTCTGGCACAAGGCAGTAAAGGTGGTCCCAGTGGTGATTGGCACACTGGGTTCAGTGCCAAAATACCTTGGCCTGCACTTAAGCTCAATCGGCACTGACAAAATCACCACATGCCAGCTGCAAAAGACCACCCTACTTAGATCTGCATGCATTATTTGCTATTACATCACACAGTTCTAGACTCTTGGGAAGTGTCTGACGTGTGATCAAATACAAAAGTCAGCATAGTGATCTTGTTTGCTATGTACTAATCTTGTTATGTATCTAATAATAATAATAATAATAATAATAATAATAATAATAATCAGTAAAGGTGGTCCCAGTGGTGACTGGCACACAGGGTGCAGTGCCTAAAGACCTTGGCCTGCACTTAAAAACAATGGGTGCTCACCATCTGTCAGCTGTAAAAGGCCACCCTACTTTAAACTTGATTACATGAGTCCTCTCTGCCACATAATCTGGGATAAACAGAAAACCTGGGAGCAGATCTTGGGATATAGGGCCTGCCTGGAAGGGCTCCTAGACACTTGAGAAGTGTCTGATGTGTGATCCAATACAAAAGCCAGCATAGTTATCTTGTTGGCTGTGTACTTGTTATGTATCAAACAACATCAACAACAACAACATTATGTGTCACAAATACCATCTGCCTGTGACAAAGAACTGATGGACTCAAAAGCCTGAAAAAGGTACAGAAAATGAACATGTCAAATTACTCTGGGACTTCTGAATTCAGACTGAGTTTTGAAGCACAGTACCGGGAAAAACAAAGTATGGATCATTGAGGTTGCAATCCCAGGTGACAGCAGAATTGATGAGAAGCAATTGGAAAAGCTGACATGATATGAGGATTTAAAGATTGAACTGCAAAGACTCTGGCACAAACAAGTAAAGGTGGTCCCAGTGTTATTTGTAATTTGGTTGGAATTCAGAACTCTTGTAGCATAAAGCCCTTCATAATCCTACAAATCCCAGGATGCCATTGGAAGGGGCCACAGCAATTAGAATGGTAGCAAACTGCAATGAATTTGCCCACTTCTTTTTTTGGAAATGTCTTTTCAAATGCTCTTTTGTTTATACAGTACTATGATGTGAAGGCTGCTGAAAGGTCCTGCTTTTAGTTTTGAAAGAAAAGTAGCCAGTCCTGGTGCTGCCTCAGCCTGCAGCACAGAAAGTTGTTTTTTCATCGCTTTCCAAGGGGAAAGGTTTCCCAAGTAACAGAGCAATATGTATATTTGCTGTAAACCAGCATGACATTTGTTGCAGACCAGAGGACAGGATCAGAATCCGAAATGACTGTAATAATTTGGAGAACTGGGCCCAGACTAACAAAATGAATGTCAACAGGGAAAATGTACGATATTACACTTCAGCAATAAAAACGAAATGCTCGTATAAACATAAGTAACACATGGCCTGTGAACAATACATGTGAAAAAGATCTAGGAGTCTTGGTAGACCATAAGGTGAATGTGAGAACCTTGTGATGCAGCATCTAGAAAGACTAATGCAATTCTAGGCTGCATCAATAGTAGAGTGTCTAGAGGGAAGCAATACTTCCACTCTTTTCTGCTTTGTCCAGACCGCACCTGGAATACTGTGTCCAGTTCTGAGCACCATAATTCAAGAAGGTATGTTTAGCTTGGAGAGAAGACAAGGAACATAGCCATGTGTAAATATTTGAAAGGATGTCACATTGCAGAGGAGGCAAGCTTGTTTCTTTCTGCTCTGGAGACTTGATCACAGAGCAATGGATTCAATGGTAGGAAAAGAGATTACACCCAAACATTAAGAACTACCTGAACAAGTATCATTTGTTCAGGCCTAGATGGTGGGTCTAAGTGTTTGTAAATGCACATTATTTTGTATACTGTTTATATTGAATGTTGTTAATATAAGTGTAAATAAATAAATAGAACTACTTGATGGCAAGAGCTGTTCAGCACATCATGTTATCTCCTTCTCTGGAGGCATTTTAAGCAGAGCCTAATGGCTATTTGTTAGGAGTTAGGGTTCCTGCCTGATAGGATGGACTGGATGGCCCTTGTGGTCTCTTCCAACTCCAGTTCTATTATTTTATAACTTCCAGAAATCTCAAATAACATCACCAAAATTGAGTTAAATTGGGAGTTTGTAGTCTAGAGGAGTGCATGGTTTCTACCCTTGATCTAGGCTAAACAGCTATAAGATTTTGGTACATTTTGTCTACCATGACTCTATTACTTAAGGACGTTCCTTGATCTATGTTTGCCACTTTTGTTCTTTTTTTGTTCAGTGATGAGGAGTGCCTTGTGCCAACTTTCTTTGGCTCTTCAGTTACATTCTGAATAAGGATATGTTGACCATCATGGTTTATACTTTGATTATATCCTGATTTGATTTCTGCAATGTGTTGTATACAGAGCTGTACTTGAAGACAATATGCAGGCTTGCACATTGCAGTGGCCACAATTGCAAATAGTACAACAGTTCGGAGGCAAATTACACCAGTTCTAAATGAATGGCTCAGGCTATTCATTCACTTTTGAGCTCAGTGCAATTTATATTTCACACCATTGGAGCTCCAGTATTTGAAGAAGTTCTCTACTTTCCTGGAAAGATTTCTCCAGAGGAGTTTGTCATTGGTTCTCTTTAGGCTGAGACAGCATGACTTGCCCAAAGTTCACTCAATGGGTGAACCTTGGACAAAGTTGAAAGGTGATTTGGATCCTGGTCTTTAAACCACTGCATCATACTGGCTTTGCAACTGATATGACAGCTGAATAATTCCAAATTTCACAGTATGAATTCTTCAGCTATTAAATTGTAAATTTCTGTGGTGTTGTGTGGTTTCTGGGCTATGTGGCCATGTTCTAGCAGCATTATCTCCTGACATTTCAGCTGCATCTGTGGCTGGCATCTTCAGAAGATCAGAAATGTCTTCTTGCAACTCATACCACCAGATCCTCTATGATTTTAGAAGCTAAGCATGGTCTGCTGCAGTTTCTATTTGGATGGGAGCCCGCCAGTGAATACCAGGTGCTGTAGGCTGTATTTCAGAGGAAGGAATGCCCAAAGCTGCCTCTTAGGTATTCTTTGCCTAAGAAAACCCTATGAAATTCATGGAGTCGCCATAACTTGACAGCCAACTTGAAGACATATACACAAACACACTGTAACATTAAATGTAGTTCAAGCACAAATTTTATAGGAAATAATGACGTTGGAATGATATGTGTTGAAAGTTCTTTGACTGTGTGTTACTATTTGGCAGGGAGTTGGATTGACTGGTCCTTGTTACCTATTTTAACTCCATGATTGTATAATAATTGTAAACATGTCTCAGTCTTACTCATATATCACCAGCATGTCCTTCTCTGAATCAGGGTGAGATGCAGCTCATCCTTCCCCTGTGCCCATGGGGTACTAGTGTTATATAATAAGATGATCTGACATAAATATTTATTGCCTGTTATTTTGTTTTCAATCTGAACAAGTCAGTGCCTCAATATAGCTCTGTATACGAAACTGAGATATTCCGCCACCAGCCTTGTCCGCATAAGGCTGTATATATCTTCTTAGAAGTAAATGATTTTGAGTTTACTGCCAGGTAAATAGCCTTAGCATACTTGAAAGGAATCACATTGAAATTAAGTGGGCCTTCTAACAAAATGTGGCTAGATCAATCTGTTAATTCTTCAAACATTTTAATTTATTAGAGGTTGGAGACTTGGATCAGTGAAGGATAATTGTAGAATTTCACATCTTTTTCATCTAGGGCATGGCCTATCAGCGATAGTTTTCAGACATCAAAGCAGTTTGAAGTTAAGACTTCAAATGTCAGTGAGATATAAAGCAGTATCTTCATTACACATATTTGAGAGGACTTCCTTCAGATTAATTTATAATAGAGGCTCCATCAGATAAGTTTGACTGAGTGGATTTGTACTCCAGTGGAGTGTAATGTTTGCCGAGATAATGAATGTTGTTGACTTCCTGATCTCCAATACCTTTGAGGGATATGTGTTTATATTTTTCCTCCTTCTCTTTTCCTTTTTGTTAGATTTCTAAAAAATGGATTTTACAGAGGCCTATTCTGACAGATGCTCTGCTGTTGGCCTTGCAGCTAGAGAAGGTGATGTCAAATGTTTGAAGAAGCTCATCAGACAAGGATATAGTATTGATGTTCCCGATAACCGAGGTTGGATGCCAATCCATGAGGCAGCCTTTCATAACACAAGCAAATGCCTGAAGCATTTAATCTGTGCAGGTGAGATAAAATGGGGGGAAAAATAAAGTAAGGAAGGCAAGCTTCTATTTCCAGGGACTCCAGTACTGGAGTATGAAAGGCCCCAGAAAATTCAGGATTGTCAACAAGGATGTGGCATCTCTTTCAGCCCAAAAGTCAGGTCCATTTTCAGAGAAAGTATTAGGGTCTTTAATTTATTGATGGGTGAAGCTGAAAGGCAAAAAAGGTGAGAGTCAAAATACCAAGTTATTAAATCTCTTAGAGCTAGTACTTGAGCCTTAGAATGGGAAAAACTTTAGAGGAAAAAAACTGCACAACTGGGAGACTCCCAAACAATGATGCCATTGGGAAGAAGGCATGGCCATGTGTACAAGCTGAGAGAGCCAGATGAGAACAGAGGATCTAAGGTTCCCTACTCCTAGTTTACAATTTAGTTGGCACTACCTTCTGAAGTGTAGACCAGGAATACATGGAATACATGGAAAGAGAGAGAATATATCGTGTAAATGCTATTTTAGACTGTAAGTCGCTCGGAGCACCTTGGTGGAGAGTGACTAATTAAGAAATAAAGTGAAGTGAAAGTGAAGTGAAGCTGTCAGATGTACAAACTGGGTTTAGAAAAGGCAGAGAAATGAGAGACCAAATTGCCAATATCAGTTAGATAATGGAGGAAGGTAGGGAGTTTCAGAAAAAAAACACACATCTGTTTCTATTCGAAAGCTTTTGACTGTGTGAATTATATAAACTGTGTTAAGTTCTTGGTGGTATGGGGATCCCAAGACCCCTTGTCTGTCTCCTGAGGAATTTGTATAACGACCAAGTAGCAACAGTAAGAACAGACCATGGAAGATTTGGAAAGGAATACAGCAGGGCTGTATACTGTCACCTATTCAACTTGTTTGCAGAACACATCATGCGACGTGTGGAAATTGATGAATCCAAGGCTGGAGTTAAAATTGCTGAAAGAAACATTAGCAACCTTAGATTTGCAGATGACACTACTTTGATGGCTGAAAGCAAGAAAGTGCTGGGGAGCCTTGTAACCAAGGTGGAAGAAGAAAGCACAAAATCTGGCTTGCAGTTAAACATAAAAAAAACCCAAGATGATGGCAACCAGACTGATTGCTAACTGGCAAACAGAGGGAGAAAACATGGAAGCAGTGGTAGACTGTGTATTTCTAGGTGTGAAGATTACTGCTAACACAGACTGCAGCCAGGAAGGCAACCAATGACCCATCTCAATAAAATATTTAAGAGTAGAGACATCACACTGCTGACGAAGATCCCCATAGTTAAAGCAATGGCATTTCCCATAGTAACCTATGGATGTGCGAGCTGGACCATAAGGAAGGCTCAGCGAAGGAAGATAGGTGCTTTTGAACTGTGGTGTTGGAGGAAAATTCTTAGAGTGCCTTAAATCATGAGATGATCAAACCAGCCCATACTCCAGGAAATAATGCCTGACTGCTCACTGGAGGGAATGATATTAGGGGCAAAGATAAAGTACTTTGGTCACATAATGAAAAGATAGGAAAGCTTGGAGAAGACAATGATGCTGGGGAAATGGAAGAAAAAAGTAAAAGGGTCCGACCAGGGGCAAAATGGATGGATGTTATCCTTGACGTGACTGGCCTTGAAGGAACTGGGGGTGGTCACAGCTGACAGAGAGTGCTGGCGTGGGCTGGTCCATGAGGTCACAAGGAGTTGGAAGCAACTGAACGAATACGCAATAACAACAAAAACCTTCTGAAGTATGTTCTTTAGAAATGAACAGCACTCACCTTGCCTTGTGATGGATTGAAATAGGAGATCATTTTCCTTATAAGAGTCAAAAGTGTCTAGAAGTTCTTTGCCCTCTGAAGCCCGAATCCTCTTATTGATCCCAACTCAGCCTGTTGAATCAATAGTTGAATTCTAAATCCATGCAGATGTAAATGGGATTGTAGGATTCATACCCTAAAATACAGAATTTCAATACTGTAGTGACAGGGATGTTGTAAGAGCTAAGATGCTCTGTGTTATGAATCTAACCTTTTGCCAGGAAGGCCGAAGCCTGGAAAGTCAGTAGATGACATGTTTAGAGATAGGCAGGAGAGCTAAGAGGCAAGAGGGAGGAGTCAGCGGCTCCTGATTGGCTAGAGCAGTCAGGGGAGGAGTTAGGTTTGAGAGGGAAAAAAGGCTGTGTCTTGTGACAAGCTGGAGAGAGAAGAGCTTTAAACATYGAAGAGTGTAGTAGTACTTTAGGAAGAGGGAGCTGAGAGGAATTTAGACAGGGAGAACTTTTGAAGTGAGCCTTGTAGTTAGAGCATAGGGAAGGCAAAGGTTCCTGGTTCACTGTACATAGAAGGGTCAGTGAAGGAAAGCCTATTTTGCTCTGTGAGGCAGTCAGTGGGCTGTTCTCAAGGACACACTGTGTCAGAGTTAGTGAACAGTGTGAAGCAAGGAACTCACAGGGGACAAAAGTTAAAGTCTTAAAGAWAGACTGCTTGTCTAAACAGCTAAGCCTTAAGTAACCACATTACGCTTTTGTACCACTCTTTTTAAGAGTTGATTTGTTCACCAAGTTTAAATAAACCTGTTTATATTTCATCTTTAAACTGGTGTCTGCCTCGGTATGTTACACTCATTAAATCTCAGCCAGTCTAAAGACAAATCAATTTTCAGTCCAGTCAGCGAAAGAAGCAGTCTCTGAAGAGGAACAAAGGGTTTGAACAAACTTTACCTATTTTCACATTACACTTATGTTTTCCTCAGACATTAATTGAGGTGGTGGCGGCGAATCTACCAAATACATCGGTCATTAACATCGTTGGTCACTCAACAATATTACTGAGGTGGGATAAGAGAGTCTTTCCCCCTTGTTATAGTCATTTATTGTCGTTGAAGTAGTGTCCAGCTGAACGTTAAACCGTTCACACTGGTGGGCAGAGGTTGAGATTAGCCTTCCCCCCTGCCCAAGATTGTCCTTGATTTTGTTACACTCTGCTATCCACCTGGAATTCTCTGGTTAAAATTTCCCACTAACAGACTTTATCCAGAAGCAGGAAATGTGGGAGGAAGTTAGAATGTATGAAAGGAAGAGGTGAAAGGGGGAGAGGAGTCAAGGAGCTCTAGTGAATGTGTAACCCTGTGGCATGGTTTGAGTTCATATGCAAACTGACTTACTGTCTGGTGGACAAAGTCTCTGTCAGTAAAAATGCATTACAGCCTTCTGTGAAGTTTAAACCGTTCGCTAAGATCCAAATTACACAGTTAAATCTTTCATTTATGAAATGCTTCTGCCCATGACCACTCTGAAGCAAGAACAGAAATAGGCAGCCTGGTGCCCTCCAGGTAGTTTTGATGGCAGCTCCCATAATACTATTAGCTATTTCGACTAGAGTTCATAAAAATTGTGTTCCAAGGCTAGATGCGCTGTTAGCTCCTATATAGAGAAAGTATAAAAATGCAATCTCTTTACAGAAGTCTGAAGAGGAACAATCCATTGTAGCTGCTCCCAGCTCTATCCCCACAAGTATCTGTAGACAGTGTCTTCTGAACATTCTTAAAGCAGCAGGAGGAAAACTTTGTTTTCCACACATTTTGGATTTCAACAGATAGAATCCCTTGCCACTAGGCATTCTGTAAAGGGCTGCTGGGAAATGAAATCCAAAACATCTGGAGGGCCAAAGATGCTGCAGTTTTGCCTTAAAGAGGAGGAAAATCTAGTATGAAAACATTTTCCTTTTCCTGTTGGCCATGCTAGGCTGAGAATGGTGGGAGCTGTAGTAAACATGTAAGGAGGACATCAGCTTGCAGAAGGGTTGCTCTAAGGCAGGGGTTCTCAAACCTTTTCAGCAGTGGAGCGCTTTTTGAAGCCATCAAAGTTTCTTGTGGATTCACAAGAAATGTTTATATATGTTATCATATATTATATTATATATAATGTATATTTATCAGGCATGGACTGGGCCAGTGGCAGATGGATGGAGAGCTTTTGTGAACTGATTCACACAGTGAAAAGGAAAAAAGAAAACAAAGGAAAGAAAGAACAATATAATATTTAAAATGAAGAATAATTTTAACCAACTTTAAACTTAACAGTATTTCAGTGGAAGACCCAAGGAGCCATACAGCCCTACCCTTTTCTACCATGCAGGAAAAGTGCAATCAGAGCAACCTCAACAGATGGCCACCCAGCCTTTGTAGTCATAATAATAATAATAATAATCATCATCATCATCATCATCATCATAACCATAATAGCAGAAACCCCAGAGACCATCCAGTCCAACCCTCTTCTGCCATGCAGGAAAATCACAATTAAAGCACCCCCAACAGATGGGCACCCAGCCTTTGTAATAATAATAATAATAATAATAATAATAATAATAATAATAATAACAATAATAATAATAATAATAATAATAATAATATAATTATAATAGTAGAAACCCCAGAGGCTATCTGGTCCAACCCCCTTTTCCCATGCAGGAAAATCGCAAAGCACCCCCAACAGATGGTCTTCCAAGCCTTTGTAGGAATAAGAATAATAGAAATCTGAGGGAGGCATGGAAAAGGGTCTGGCTGGTGGGGAAGAAAGAGTCTATGCCCTGGGAGGATGCTGTTGCTGTTTCCAGCAGCTCAAAACTTTAATTTTCCTGCATTTCCTGCAAGAGGAGGAAAGAGGATGTGACAAGAAGCAGCATGGCGGTGCGGAGCCCTTCATTATCATCCGTGGAGCCCCAAGGGCTCCCTGGAGCACAGTTTGAGAACTGCTGTCCTAAGGCTTTCTCCAAGGTTTTCTCTTCCTCTACCCATTCTCTCTACAAGCATGCAGCTTTTTTAGTTGCCAGAAATGTGGTGCCAGCTATTGGAAAACGATTTTGTTTTCACATAAACACTGTTTTCCTCCACCTTCATTCTCTTTGTAAATGTGAAAAGTGACTAGTAACTTGGAATCTTTGCAAAGCTTTTAATTTTCTATTCAGATTATACTTTTTCCTAATGTCAGGACACAAGGCAATTGATAATATGAGATAATAGAATTGATGATTCAAAAGCTTTTTTTAAAAAAACTCTCAAAGAAACATTCATATTAAAACTGTTTTTAAAAGGCAATTAAAAGGTGAATAATAAGAATAAGAATAATGATACAAGTAAAGTTACTGTCTGGTGGACAAAGGTATTTCTGTTTTTAACTTTCTGCCACAGACTGTTGACACTCAAATTAACAGAAAGGTCTTCATTTGGTGTCAGAAAGAGAGCTTCCCTTGGAAATGAATTCCTAAATTTGGAGAAACTCCCAAGAAGGTTGTCTACTGTGTCCTGACCAAACATTCCTGTGATGATGGTGGGACTAAGAGAAAGCCCTCTCCCAAGGATCTTGACACTTTCAGATAGCTTGAATCCATAGGTCTTGATCAGTAAATTGAGTTGTGTCAGAAACAAATCAGTATCTAGTGAAGTTGTTTTCAGAGGGAAATTATACATTCCCCTGTAACACCATACTACATGCAATGTTAGAAATCTCTCTGGGGTTAGTGAAAAGCAGGCTTCTGACACTTTTTAAAACAATGGATTTATTTTATAATAATAACATTATTATTATTAATTATTTATTTGTAATCTGCCCTATCCCCAAAGGGACTCAGGGCAGTTTCCATGATAAGTAGCATTGCCATAATATTGCCATAATAACATAGACAAACAACAAATCAATCAACACCATCAATAAATCGACATCAGTATAAACTTATAATAACTAGCCAGTAATAACCAAAAAGTAAGATCTTAAATAAACATATATATTTTAAACAATGTTTCCTCTTCTGTTGTTCTATTTAGCACCTTCTGATAACTACATAAGGTCAAAGACGTTTGAAGGCACTAGTTCATTACATCTTTCGGCAAGACGGGGGAGCTTGGAGTGTGCTGCTCTTCTCCTGGAATCTGGAGCTGACCCTAATGAGCTGACTAACGATGCAACAACACCTTTATTTTTAGGTGAGTAAGTATAGTTGTTTGTGCTTAAAATAATAATTACAAGTGTAGAAAGCATTGTGATCCCTTGTACCCAAATCTGGTGTGCATTGTTGTGCCTAAATACTTTTGTCATGTTATCTCCAACCAACCATTTTTCCCCCTACAGGGCAGGGGATTTATGAGAAAATAAGATAATTTTATGAATTTTCACCAGTTTCCCTTTGCATAGGCTAAAGTTTAATATTTCAATCTATATTTAATGGCTGAATATGCATACTGAAACCTTCATCCATCATGCAGGTGTGTTTCACAAGCCTTCTTTAAATCAATCAGAATACATATTTGGTAGCACCCCACAAATACAGTCTGTATCGTTTCCTGAAAACGTGGTGCAATGCATCAAGATGTTTCCATACATACATACTTACATACATCCTTCCACTTTGTAGATAAAATGCATCTGTTTAACACAGGGCTTTCCAGATATTTCATGTTGGTGACACATTGTTTAGACATGGAAGATTTTTTGACTAACTTATTCAGTTTTACTAACAAACGGGAGGTTCAACAAACACTTTAAAGAGATAGGGACACATACATACATTGTCATAATGAAACGTACGGAAACACAACATATCTCATGAAAACCTTTTATTTATATATTTTCAAAATATATGATTTATTGCTTTTTCACATACTTAGAAGTTTGCACTTAGAAGCATGCCTTTTTAAAATATGGTGATTATATTTTTGGGATATTTAGCCACCCTACATATGTGCATCTCCAGATACATGGCAGGACTGGTTTGAAGATACAGATTCATAGAGTTGGAAGGGACTGCCGTGGGCCATCTAGTTCAGGCATGGGCAAACTTTGGACCACCGGGTGTTTTGGACTTCAGTTCCCACAATTCATAACAGCCTACTTGGAGGGCTGAGATTTGCCCAACCTCCTGCCATGCAGGAAAAGCACAATCAAAGCACTCTCGACACATGGCTGTCCAGCCTCTGTTTAAAACCCTCCAAAGAAGGAGCATCCACTACACTCCAAGACAGAGAGTTGGTATCTAATGGTATATCACTGTTAGGGTTATCAGCTTTTAGTAAGCATAATAGTGAATAGAAATATTTATTAAGGCAAATATCTGCCCAATAGATATAGGAGGATGAGACCTGTGGTTATGGCAATGACTCAAGAGTGAGAGGAGGTGGGAGGAAATAAAATTGGAGCTAAAAATATCTGCCTGTGTTCAATTAAGCAATAGATTTTATAAGACAAGGAAGGTGCATCCTAGAACCTTAATGGCCTATCTCTACCTTTACTTTTCCCTTTAGGCACATAGCTGCCTGTGCAAATGGAACTGTAAGTCTATGCTTCCAACAGTGTTATTGGGCATCATCCAAATGTGTGCCTCATGGCGTGCAGTACATACTTTTGAGTCTCAGTTTTGCACCTCACTCTGCCAACAGTTAAAAAACTTGTCCATGGTCTGCATCGTGAAAAAATATTGAATGACAGCTTTTCTGATGGCTCGCTGAGTCCCATCCTCAAGCTATAAAATCTCTAGTTCCAAGCCTTGGTAGTGGAGCGATCAGTAAAACATGATAAGTTAGAGAAACAGAGGTAATTACTTATTATTATTATTATTATTATTATTATTATTATTTTACTTCATTTCTACCCTGCTCTTCCTGACCCCAAAGGGAACTCAAGGCGGCTTACAAAAGGCAGCATTCCTCCTACCCACTGGCTAATAGATAGCTAAAACTATCTAAAAACTCTGCTTGGTTATTCAGGTGGTCTTTTAAATTACGGAATTGTCATAGCTCCATACTTGCACCTATGTAACTGTTTCCGAATACAGGAGAGCATTTGTGCTTTCTTGATTTAATGGCCTGGCTTCTGCACATTAACCAGCTGATTCAATAAGCGTTTACTCAAAAATGAATTTGTTCTTATAGAATTAGAGAAACAAAGTGCTGGCCATTTCTTTTATGCTGCAATTTGTACCAACAAAGTAATTGATTTCTCCATTAGTAGGCACTCTTTGCAGAAGATCCAATGAGACTTTGTTAAGTCTCTGTTAAAAGAATGGGTCTGTCAGTATTATTGAAAAGGTAGCTAAAGTCTGTAATACTTATGAGAAATAACTTTGGATTCTTTTGTGATTTTATTTGTGTCCTTATTATTTTTAACTTTTTTATTAGCTTTTATTGGTTTTTGTACCAACCTCTATTAGCCTGTGACCACAAGATTTATTCCTGTTTATTTATATTTATTATTCCTATTTATCAGTTACATTTATATCCCACTTTTCCTCCCAAAACCCGGGGCATGGTATCTATAGTTCTCTTCTGCCCTCTTTTATTATTTGCATCAGCCCTGTGAGATAGATCAGCCAGCAAATTTCTTTGTTATCTGCTTATTTTGATTCCAATATGGAACTCATGTCTTAGTAGATACTTGAATTGTATTTCCTAAGTCCCAGTCTAACATGCTTAGCGCCGTGTTATCCATGCTATATTGTGTTTCTCAGCCTGGGAGACCCCTGGGAGTCACGAGGGGGTGTCGGGGGTTGAGAAGGGCGGAGTAGAAGTGCGAAAAATAATAATAAATAAATAAGAAATAAGAAAACACAGTATTTCTGTTGGTCATGGTGGTTCTGTGTGGGAAATTTGGCCTAATTCTATCATTGGTGGGGTTCAGAATGCTCTTTGATTGTAGGTGAACTATAAATCCCAGCAACTACAACTCCTAAATGTCAAGTTCTATTTTCCCCAAACTCCACCACATTTGGGTATATTATTTTGTGCCAAGTTTGGTCCAGATGCATCATTGTTTGAGTCCACAGTGCTCTCTGGATGTAGGTGAACTACAACTCCCAAACTCAAGGTCAATGCCCACCAAACCCTTCCAGTATTTTCTGTTGGTCATGGGAGTTCTGTGTTCCAAGTTTGGTTCAATTCCATCATTGGTGGAGTTCTCAGAATGCTCTTTGATTGTAGGTGAACTATAAATCCCAGCAACTACAACTCCCACATGACAAATTCAACCCCCCCCCCCAAACATCACCAGTATTCAAATTTGGGCATGTTGGGTATTTGTGCCATATTTGTCCAAGTGAATGAAAATACATCCTGTATATCAGATATTTACATTACGATTCATAATAGTAGCAAAATTATAGTTATAAAGTAGCAACAAAAATAATGTTATGGGTCACCACAACATAAGGAACTGTATTACGGGGTCACAGCATTAGGAAGATTGAGAACCACTGCTATAGTGCATACTCAGGTTTAACTTCCAGTGCACCATTTAAAAGAATGACTGATGGAAGGACTGGGAAAAAATAACTGAGACCACTGAAATTTACAGCCAGACAGAGGAGGGAGGAATAGGTTAGATAAATCAGCATTCTGGTTTGAAATGAGATTACTGAATTCTTACAACAGCATATGCAGTAAAAATCGAGTCATTCAGATATCTGTACATTAGGACTAGTGCTTTTGCTTATAAATGAACTATAGTCAGAGATGATCAATGAGTGGTTTGTATATGTAAAACACCAACTTACTTAAGTCCACTTCCCTAATTTGGAGAGATCCTCTTCAAAATCAGCTCTCACCCTGTAAATAAATTGATAAATAACAAGGAAGGTTCAATGTGAGCAAATGTACAGTGATGTTTAAATCCAGACTTCATTTATATGCTGATAAGATTTGAACTGGTAATGAAAATAATAATAAAAATCACTGCAAACTACTCCAACCAGAGAAATCAGCCATAGCAGAGCACCTGATGAACCAACCTGGACACAGCATATTATTTGAGAACACAGAAGTGCTGGACCACTTTCACAACCACCATGTCAGACTACACAGAGAAGCCATTGAAATCCACAAGCATGTGGACAATTTCAACAGAAAGGAGGAAACCATGAAAATGAACAAGATATGGCTACCAGTATTAAAAAACTCAAAAATTACAACAGCAAAACAACAGAGGGGAAACAAACAGGCACATAAAATCACTCTCAACAAGAGATTCCCCCCAGGCGCTTCCAGGCCATTGAATGCAAACCAAGGTGATCAGCTGAAACATTCACAGCTAGCCCCAGCAAACAAAAGTCCTTTGTGTCACCCTGGTCATTCCACAGATATATAAACCCATTTTTCCTACTTCCAACAGACCTCACTACCTCTGAGGATGCTTGCCATAGATGCAGGCAAAACGTCAGGAGAAAAATTGCCTCCAGAACATGGCCATATAGCCCGGAAAAACCTACAACGACCCAATCTAATAAAACTTTATTTATATTCCACCCTCTCTCCCCAAAGGGACTCAGGGCATATTGACAACAAAAAATGGCAAACATTCAATGCCAGATCCAATTCATAAATAAAAAAAACATAAAACAACCATATCCCTAAAAAACAATGTCCACAGCCAAATTCCCCCCCCCAATTAAATAATATAACCTATCATTTAATCTACATCTAATATAGCTGATGTTAGACATAAATTATACAAACAATAGTTAACTTTCAATTAAAATAATAATTAAAATATTATGCGGCCAATAAAGCCCTGTGATTTTGCAGGTAGTTTGGTGAAAAATGTTAACCCAACGTGTGACTGGCTTGAAAGAGTTGGAATGGAAAATAAATGTAATGGGGCCCTTATTTGAATCCATGGCACAAATGCTTCTGGAGAAGACGGTACACTTTGTACTACTGTTTCTAAATGGAACTGAAAAGATGTAGATGGGAGAGAAGGCATGATTTGAGAAGATTTACTGAAAAGTAAAATACAGAGAATGCTAAACAGCAACTACAAGCATCTATGAAGCTTCACTTTTAAGTCAGTTTGTTAGTATTTTACATAGTAAAGGTACAGGTTTCCCCTTGACATTTAAGTCTAGTCGTGTCCGACTCTGGGAGGTGGTGCTCATCTCCATTTCTAAGCCAGAGCTGACATTGTCCTTAGACACCCCATAGGTCATGAGGCCAGCATGACT